AGGTTATTTCACCAGCACCCTTAAGGCTTTATTGAATGATGAATGGACCGTTTGAGAAACTTGTAATTGATTGTGTTGGTCATTTACCAAGAACTAAGTCTGGTCGCTCATACTTATTAACTTTGATGTGCTCTGCTACTAGGTTTCCGGAAGCCATCCCACTATGTTCATTAAAGACCTCAACAATTATGAAGGCAATTGTGAAGTTCTGTACATTTGGTCTGCTGAAGTTTATTCAGTTTGATCAAGGATCTAATTTCATGTCCAGAGTATTCCGTAAGATAATGAAAGAGCTGAACATTAAACATTGCATATCTAGTGCTTACCATCCACATTCGCAGGGTGTCCTTGAAAGGTTTCATCAGACCCTCAAGACCATGATCAAAAGTTACTGTCTCCAACATAAGAAAGACTGGGATGAAGAGATCCCCCTTCTGTTGTTTGCTGTTTGCAATACAGTGCAAGAGTCGCTTGGATTCAGTCCAGCTGAATTAGTCTTTGGGCATTCTCTTAGTGGACCGTTAAAGGTGTTACAAGAACAACTACTTTCTGGAAGTCAGTCAGGTACCCCTCCTAAGAATGTGTTAGATCATGTAAGTTCATTTCGTGAATGTTTACACTCTAGCAACTAGCACAACAGTCTCTAGCAACCTCACAGTCCTGAATGAAAGGCAGGTATGATAAAAAGTCTGTTCAACGCACATTTAAGGTTGGTTATCAAGTTCTAGTATTGTTGCCTTTGCCTGGCTCTGCTCTGCGAGCAAAGTTTACAGGGCCGTATGTGATTGAAGAAAAGTTAAGTGATACAGACTATGTAGTACGAACCTCTGAAAGGAGGAGAAAGACTTGTATATGCCATATAAACATGCTTAAACTGTGTGTCTCTCATGCTAACTCTAAAGACTCTGCCACATCTCCAGTGTTAACTCCTGCTACTGTAACTTCTGTGGATGTGGTTCCTTCTGAATATTCTCCATGCATGGATGGTCTTCGTTTAGGAAGTTCTTGTCTTTCTGGTGCTTATTTTCAGAACTTTAAGGCTCTAGTAACTCATCTCAAAACTTTCACATTTATCTAGATCAGGGGTGCCCAACCCTGCTCCTGGCGATCGACTGTCCTGCAAAGTTTAGCTCCAACTCTAATCATAGACACCTGCCTTTAATTTTTAAGTGATCCTGAAGACCCTAATTAGTTGCTTCAGGTGTGTTTGATTAGGGTTGCAGCTGAACTTTGCAGGACAGTCGATCGCCAGGAGCAGGGTTGGGCACCCCTGATCTAGATCATCTCAAAGTGAACTTGTACAATTAATTGACAAGTATTCCTCACTTTTCTCAGATGTACCTACGGTGACTCATGTGTTGATGCATGACATTGATGTTGGTGATCATCGTCCTGTTAAGCAGAATGCTTATCGTGTAAATCCTGTAAAGCGTGAAATAATTTAAAAAGAAACCCAGTATCTAGTTAAAAATGGTTTAGCTGTGCCAAGCTATAGTCCATGGTGTTCTTCATGTTTGTTAGTTCCAAAATCTGATGGTACTTCACGCTTTTGCACTGATTACCGGAAGGTCAATCAATGAACTAAATCAGACTCCTACCCTCTTCCCAGAATGGAGGATTTTATTGATTGTATTGGAAGTTGTGACTAAGTTGGACTTGCTTAAAGGGTATTGGCAGGTGCCGCTTACTGAGCGTGCTTCTGAGATCTCCACCTTCGCCACACCAGACGCTTTCTGCAATATAAGGTCCTAGCTTTTGGCCTCAAAAACGCTCCAGCCACCTTCCAACACTTAATGAATCAAGTCTTAGTTAATGTGAAAATTTGTGAGGCTTACCATGACGATGTAGTGTGTTACTCAGATACTTGGAATAGTCACCTGCAAACCCTAGAGGAAGTATTCTCGAGGTTTCAAGCTGCTAATCTTACCCTTAATTTAGCAAAATTCGAGTTCTATCATGCCACAGTCACATACTTGGGTAGAGAGGTTGGTCATGGTATCATCCACCCTTTAGAAGCTAAAGTTCAGGCCATTGTTGAGTTTCCTGTGCCTAAATCTAAGACAGATCTCAGACATTTCCTTGGAATGGCTGTTTACCACAGAAATATATGTAAAAAAAATTCTGATGTTGTGAAACCTCTCACAGATAACCTTTGTAAAGCTGTATCTTTCAACTGGAACTGTAAATGTCAATTTGCCTTTGAATCTTTGAAAAATTTGATGTGTAATGCTCCTGTCCTAGCTGCCCCAGACTTCACAAGACCTTTTAAACTCGAAGTGCATGCCAATGGTATGTGTGTCGGTGCTGTCCTGCTACAAGAAGATGACCAAGAAATCGACCATCCTGTATGTTTCTATTCTAAAAAGTTAAATCGTCATCCAGTTTATTTATAGTACCATCGAAAAAGAAGCACTAGCTCTCTTGTTAGCTCTACAACATTTTGAAGTGTATGCTGGCTCTAGCTCCCAACCCTTTGATGTGTACACTGATCATAATCCACTTGTTTTTCTTGAGCGTATGTGTAACAAAAATCAGACTGATGCGTTGGGCGCTCATTTGTCAAAGTTTAATTTGCAAATGAAGTACAAGTTATGTTGACAATGTTATTGCCGATTCTTTGTCCAGATGTCATTTGTAAACTTATAAACATGTTCTTATGTGTGGTGGTGTTACAACCTTATGGTTGTTGTGCTTTCTCTGTTGTGTTGGGGCTTTCTGTGTCTCTGCTCTGCCTAGGAAAAGCCATCTGATTGGCCCCTGCAGGCTGATTGTTGCTGTCTCTTGATTTGTCTCCAGAACTTTAAAACTAATGACATCACTTCCTCAGCGGCAATCTTTGCCACTTTGTGATCTAAACAGTTTGTTTGTATACTGCGGAGTTGTGTGTTAAAGTTTGTATTAAGAGAGTGTTGAGATTGTGAGTACTGTTTGCTTTGGCTTTGTTTTGTGTTGTGTTTGGTTGCAAGTGTTGTATCAAAAGATCTGCTGGTTTATTTGACTCCTTTGCCTGTTTGACTCTGATTTCTGGATTGCACTCTAAACTTGGTTTGATTTGGTTCTGTAAATATTCTTGTAAATATTGTAAACACTAAATTGGTATAGTAAGGAGTCTGACACCAAGGAACTCAAACTCCCAATAAACTCGTTGTTGCAAATTTTTGTCTATGTAAGTCCTTTCATGTTGCGCTTCTTCCCTAGACGGGGCATATAATCTATATAATCAAAAATAAAATAAAAAATACACACACATACAAATACACATGCATATATATTAATAAAAACAAGGGGAAAATAAATAATCATAAAATATAAAATAATAAAATATTTTCAATGCTGCATATAATCAACACAAAAGAATACATTTATAAGAATGAGATTTTTTTAAATGTTTCCTATTCATCATCATTAACACTCATATTTGTCATTGATCGTTAAACCAGCTCCAGTAGGTCTATCTAAAAGAATACAAAAATCAAGCAATCAATGGCAAAATGACCTGAAATGTTTCAAAGTGTATTTTGTTCCCAGCTGACACAGAGCTGCTTTTTGTGTCAACCTGCATGTAAAGTTGTGTGGGAGTGTCTGTTGTAATCCCCTATTGCGATTAAACATAACTGTTGTGTTGTGCGTGTTGGGACAGGCCAAACCATGTGAGCGAGGCAGGGGGATGCAGAACACGCCCCTTTAAACTCTGTGTGTTCCCTCATGAGCCCCTCACGGACCAATCAAATCCCTATTACACACCCACATCACAGCCATCGCAGCAGATTAAACAAAGGGCCATCACGCAGAGAGACAGAATGAGAGCGACAGAGTAGGAGAATTTTATTAGAAATCCTCAGTGTTGTAAAACAAGTGCAGAACGTGCTAGTCTTGTTGTCGATGAAGAAAAGATTTTAACATTTGCTCTGATATACAGGAAAATAAAAGATGCTAACAGTTATAATCAGAAAGATCATTTTAGAAAACAGGTGCCATCTGTGTAATTCATATAGGAGTAAAAATTAATTAAAAAATAGATAGCTGAAACCAGTTTTTCTAAATATATTTGAACAAAAATCCAGTCACTATATATATTTTTTTGTTTATTTAATCATGAGTGTGCTTTTTTGGCTTGTATCTTTAAAAAAAAAAAAATCATGATTTTGTATAATAAACTATAGTTGATTGATCAGCATATATTGCAGTACATTATTAAATTTGTGTGTGTGTGTGTGTGCGTGTGTGTGTGTTAATAATCAAAATTAATAATAAGAATTTAATACTGAGATTGTTTCATAATTTTATTATCATTAAAAAACAAATCAGCATATTACAATGATTTCAGCACATACACTAGCGGTCATAAGTTTGGAAATTATATATAATAAGAAATTGATAATAATATAATGTTTCTTGAGCAGCAAATCAGCATATTAGAATGATTTCTGATGGAGTAATGATGCTGGAAATTATGCTTTCCATCACAGGAATAAATTACATTTTAAAATATATTCACACATAAAACAGTTCTTTCAAATTGTAATAATATTTCACAATTTTACTGTTTGTAATCATCTCACTTGGTGTAAAGCCTATTTTAAAGATTATTTTTAAGTTCTTGACAGCTGTGACTATGGACTGTCACTATGGACAGTCATTATAGACTGTCCTTGTCTTCAGAACTTCTCTTTTGCTCCAATAAAAATATATATGAATATGCGAGTTTTATGTGATGACATGACAAGTAAACAAATAACGCCATACGTTTATTTGCCTTTAAACAAAATCAAAAAAATGCTCCTGCTATGGGAGCAGGTGTCAGTGTGTGATGTGAGTGGGCGTCTCCCTCTGTCTGGGGCGGGTCCAGAGAGCAGCTTCAGGCAGCTGCCACCAGACTCTGGGGCTCTAAAGAAGATCAGGTATGATCCCTTAAGCCTCTCAGGAACAAGTGTGCCTGGACACTCCTTTCACCTCAAACTTACAGTACAACACTTAGAGAAACACTGAAACCCACTCACCCACTTTAAACTGAGACGCCTGGTCCGTCAGTTCCTGATGGTCTTTCACAAGCATCATGTGCAGAATCCCGAATGAGTTCTGGATGCCGAAAATCGAGCCGTTGCACCACGTAGCAGCGATCACCACGACCCAGCCGAAACCTCCCTCCGGGGGAACGAATCCCGGTCCCGGGTGTGCGTCGGGCGGCGTCGCCGGACGCTTGTCGGGGCAGCCGGTTTGTAGCAGCTGCACCGTGCTGTCCTCCGGCTCCAGCTTACGCTCCGGTTCCTCGTACCCCTGCGGGTCTTTGTGCTCCATTGCAGAGTGTTCAGTATGTCCAGCCTGCGGTTCAGTGGTCGGTTCCTCCGAACCAGGAATCCCACTCGCTGCTCCTGCAGGGTTTTCATTGCTTTCTGGGTGCATCCTATACAGAACGGATGCAAATATGTTTCCAGAATAACTCTTTAATCATATGCTTCCGAACGGGTGGAAAAGAAGAACAGAAAAAAATCCCCACAAGATCTGAAACTAAGTCAATCTCGTGCCACTTTGCATGGATAATCACTCATAATCCGACCGATAATGCCCAAATCCTGTTATGAGAGATCACTCGTCATAATAAAGCAGCAGGACTTCAAGCAAACTGAAGAGAACACAGTGAACGCGCGCTTTAAACCGAGTCCAAAGCTCTTTGCTCTCGGTTCACATCCCTTTTATCGTGCACCGACTCCTCCTCTATCATTTGTTAATCAAAATTAATAATAAGAATTTAATACTGAGATTGTTTCATAATTTTATTATCATTAAAAAAAATATATTTTTCAAAGTTTAAGTACATTTTACAAAATACCTATATCAGTCTTTCTACTTCATGTTGAATTCAATACTTGCCATTTCCCTGTAATTATTTGAAATGTACTTTTATGTAAAAAAAAAAAAAAAAAAAAAAAAAACCGCTGGGCTGCTCTGCTCACTTTTGCAATGTTACAGTGTAACAGAGAAAAGTTCTAAACCGTTCCGAAACGCTCATTCTGCGAGAGCTATAATGTAGCCATTTAACCTTCTAAACAATATCGTCATTCCGCAAATGTTAAATAACAACGTTCTAAACAACGCGAGTGTGACAATGTGTCAATTAAACGTTTTAAAAAACAACAACGCGCATTCTGCGAACGTTACAATGCAGCATTTAGGCGTTCTAAATAACAATGCAATGTAGCAGTCACCGTAAACAATCTCCACTGAGCAGATCCCGCTGGAGGAACGGATTTAAAATTCCACCGGCGCAGGATTACGGAAAGAACCGGATACCGGAGACCACCCCCTCCTCTCTGGCTTCAGCCCGTCCCGCAATTGGCCTGAAACAAGGAAGCGCGCGAGGAACTGTATGGATGACACGAGGAGAGCGAAAGCTGTATAAATCCTATAATATTTCAATATTATTAGTGTATTAATGCTTGTCTAATGCAATTTATTAATCTTAAATTATTTTTAAAACACCATATCAAACTAAAAAAAGACATTAGTTTCATACAATGACCCAGAAAACAGAATCAGGCCTGAAAGTGGGAACAGAATGAACACACACACACACAATAGATGCTGGCACAAATAATTAATGTACATATTTTCATTCTTCACAGTATCACTTTATAAAACACGAGAGAGAAACAAACGAACACACTTTCACTAACGCTCATTAGTACTCTCCTCAAACCACCCATTTGTCTTCCTCCTGTGGGCCCGTTTTTATTAATATTCAGATGTAAACATCAAATAGTGATGTTGTACAGCAAAGTGGGAGTCTGAACATTAAAACAAACTGAGATTTTACTGCGTGTTGGCTGTAAAAATCGAGCTCAGCATGGAAGACAAGATGGCAATTTCCTGAACAACAACCAGAGGCCTGCAAGACATTTACAAGGTTATGAGCATGTGGACTCGGTCTTGTTTTCTCTCACGTTGGCTCGGCCAGGGGATCAGAAGTGAGCTCAGGGGTTGCTGGGTACATTCCCAGGTTCAGGAGGGTTCGTGACAGATACTGCTTTTGACTGCATTGAGAATTGAATTGATCTCTTGGTCTGATTTGCACAATGTGAGAGCTGCTAACATGCTGTTTTATCAGATAACTGGGAAAATGCAAAAAATTAAACATCAGCACTAGGACTTTTCACTGTTTGCTTCACTTCACTGGTCTGTGTTTATGAGAAACATGCGGATACACTGATGATTTCTCTGACCCATGAGAACACAGGGAGAAATGGAAAGTCCGGATGGGAGAAGAGCTGTGAAATCGCTGCTACTTTATAACGACCAGAATAAAGCTCTAAAAACTTTTTGTAATAATAATCCGAAAATCCGTTTCTGATGAGTTAATGAGCAATCCCCAAGGCTGCTTTCTAAGATGTTTTTTAATCATTTAAGTGACCGACAACAGTTCTTTCTGGGTGAATCAATAAATTGGATTTTCTGATTAAAAATGCATGACATACTGTTTTTTAGAAACTCTTTCAAGAAACAGCTGCACCGAGTTCATGACTTTTATTTATAGTATTTTGGATGTAACATGGTAAAGTGATGGTATCAGATACCATCAGTAATATTCTGGTTTGATTTATTTGATATATAGACTACAGGTCAAAAGTTTCAAATAATTTGTTGATTTTTTATGTTTTTGTTTACCAAGGCTGCATTTATTTGATCATAAATACAGTCAAAACAGTAAAACTGTGAAATATTATTACAATTTAAAAGAACTGTTTTATATTACAATATAATTTAAAATGCAGTTTATTCAAAGTCAAAGCTGTATTTTCAGCATCATTACTCCAGTCTTCAGTGTCACATGATCCTCCAGAAATCATTCTAATTAGCTGATTTGCTACTCAAGAAACATTTCTGATTATTATCAATGTTCAAAAACATGTGGTGCCTAATATATTTGTGGAAACCATGATATATATATTTTTTTTTTTTTCAGTATTCTCTGATAAACAAAGTTCAAAATAACAACGTTCATTTGAAATAGAAATCTTTTGTAACATTATAAATGTCTTTACTGTCATGTTTGAGATGACATGACAAGTAAACAAATAACGCCATACGTTTATTTGCCTTTAAACAAAATCAAAAAAATGCTCCTGCTATGGGAGCAGGTGTCAGTGTGTGATGTGAGTGGGCGTCTCCCTCTGTCTGGGGCGGGTCCAGAGAGCAGCTTCAGGCAGCTGCCACCAGACTCTGGGGCTCTAAAGAAGATCAGGTATGATCCCTTAAGCCTCTCAGGAACAAGTGTGCCTGGACACTCCTTTCACCTCAAACTTACAGTACAACACTTAGAGAAACACTGAAACCCACTCACCCACTTTAAACTGAGACGCCTGGTCCGTCAGTTCCTGATGGTCTTTCACAAGCATCATGTGCAGAATCCCGAATGAGTTCTGGATGCCGAAAATCGAGCCGTTGCACCACGTAGCAGCGATCACCACGACCCAGCCGAAACCTCCCTCCGGGGGAACGAATCCCGGTCCCGGGTGTGCGTCGGGCGGCGTCGCCGGACGCTTGTCGGGGCAGCCGGTTTGTAGCAGCTGCACCGTGCTGTCCTCCGGCTCCAGCTTACGCTCCGGTTCCTCGTACCCCTGCGGGTCTTTGTGCTCCATTGCAGAGTGTTCAGTATGTCCAGCCTGCGGTTCAGTGGTCGGTTCCTCCGAACCAGGAATCCCACTCGCTGCTCCTGCAGGGTTTTCATTGCTTTCTGGGTGCATCCTATACAGAACGGATGCAAATATGTTTCCAGAATAACTCTTTAATCATATGCTTCCGAACGGGTGGAAAAGAAGAACAGAAAAAAATCCCCACAAGATCTGAAACTAAGTCAATCTCGTGCCACTTTGCATGGATAATCACTCATAATCCGACCGATAATGCCCAAATCCTGTTATGAGAGATCACTCGTCATAATAAAGCAGCAGGACTTCAAGCAAACTGAAGAGAACACAGTGAACGCGCGCTTTAAACCGAGTCCAAAGCTCTTTGCTCTCGGTTCACATCCCTTTTATCGTGCACCGACTCCTCCTCTATCATTTGTTGAATATTTACACCGGATCCCGCTGGGCTGCTCTGCTCACTTTTGCAATGTTACAGTGTAACAGAGAAAAGTTCTAAACCGTTCCGAAACGCTCATTCTGCGAGAGCTATAATGTAGCCATTTAACCTTCTAAACAATATCGTCATTCCGCAAATGTTAAATAACAACGTTCTAAACAACGCGAGTGTGACAATGTGTCAATTAAACGTTTTAAAAAACAACAACGCGCATTCTGCGAACGTTACAATGCAGCATTTAGGCGTTCTAAATAACAATGCAATGTAGCAGTCACCGTAAACAATCTCCACTGAGCAGATCCCGCTGGAGGAACGGATTTAAAATTCCACCGGCGCAGGATTACGGAAAGAACCGGATACCGGAGACCACCCCCTCCTATCTGGCTTCAGCCCGTCCCGCAATTGGCCTGAAACAAGGAAGCGCGCGAGGAACTGTATGGATGACGCGAGGAGAGCAGATTTACAGTGTTCTAGGTGCCGAGTCCTGACACATTTACAACCAGTGAAACAGATGAAACCCGAGAGCATCCGGCGAGCATTGCATTTGATTTCCCGACCGGTGCACAATCCATCAATGCTAGTCATAAATCAGACAGTTCCAGATTGGAAATGGGTCAAGGGCATCGTTTTGAACGCTTTCCGGGACCGCGGATGAGAGCTGGCTCGGTGCATATAGAGGCGTGTTTGGGAAGCCATGACGGGTTATTACGGTATGGAGGGGGAGGATCCGTGACGCGCTTCCCTGTACAGTAATGCTTCTAATGTGAACAGGACACATCCACACATCCTTCCAAACATAGGCCTATGTGTACTTTCCTTTTGCAGGACACTATCACGCTTTTAGGCAGATGTTTTTACCCAAAACAACTTCGAAAGTGTTTGAACTATACATTTTTATTCAAATGTATGCTTTTTCATAGTTCACGAGTTTTGCATTGCAAGCGCAACGATCTTTCTATTGCACTATATAAACGAGTTTAAATGCAACACCAAAGCTGTAGATGTGCACTGCGCGCTATTACTTGGCTTGTATATTTACATACTGACGCTATTCTGTTCCCATCCAGCTGTTTGCTTTCCTTGATTTACGTTAATGATGCTTGAGGGATTTTTATAAATCACAGGTGTGTGTATCAGTTAGCGCTGTTGACCGCTAGAGTGCAGCACAGATCAATGTATGAGACCTGATGAAACGCATGAACGGGCCACGACCCTTCAAAATATCATTTGAATGAATAATGTTAGCGGAAGCGATGATTTGATAGCTCTTTTCCTGACTTGCAAGATAACAGAATACAATGGCTGTCATTAAATCATTTGAACCGTAGGGGGCGCGATCAGCAAAGAAACCGCGGTTAAAGACCTTGTTGTTTGACTTTTATTTGTTCAAAGTTTGTCTGCAAACGCGCGTTAGGGTTTCATCAAAATACCAAAATCATGGTCTTAAACTTTAATTCTTTTATTAGCTGAGATTATTTTAATATGTCTGCTTGTAACACTTTTTTTAAATAAATGTTTTAAATATATTTTGTAAATGAATACGTCATAAATATATTTTCTTTATTAAGTGTTTGTGTGTGTGTGTGTGTGTGTGTATATGGTAAATATTTTTATTAGAAACATAATATTTAATATAACATAATATATATGTTTATTATATATATATATATATATATATATATACACACACAGGTGCATCTCAATAAATTAGAATGTCGTGGAAAAGTTCATCTTTGCAGGTGTTTTGAGTTGATTAGCTGATTGGCATGTCAGCATATTCTAATTTGTTGAGATAGTGTATTGGTGGGTTTTTGTTAAATGTGAGCCAAAACCATCACAATTAAAAGAACCAAATATTTAAACTACTTCAGTCTGTGTGCATTGAATTTATTTAATACACGAGTTTCACAATTTGAGTTGAATTACTGAAATAAATGAACTTTTCCACGACATTCTAATTTATTGAGATGCACCTGTATATATATATATATATATATATATTCTAGATCAGTGGTCACACCCACTGACTGAAAGGCAGAATTTCGCAAAAGTGTGTTTGGATTTTAAATAAAACGACTGTAAAACCTCAGAATGGGGAAGAGAAACTTAGAATTGTATTTTTTTCCATTCTCCCTTTTTTATTTCTGTTTTTAGTACCAGAAGTTTCCATACGTTTTCTGAAAAACAAAAATTACTCAAAAAGGCAAAAGATTTGCAACCAGTGCCAGACTGATCATTTCCACAGAAACCTGGAGCGTCTTCTCTGTGAATGCTAATGATCCACTATCTCTGGCTCTGAAGTCAGGAACACTGTAAGCGAACATGGACTTTGAACGAGGAATGTCATCCAAGAATATCTGATAACAGGAAAAAAAAACACTGAGTTTTTGGAAATCTAGCTGGGTCAGGTAGTCATATTAATAGAGTTTTAAACCAAATACAACATGCTCTTTAAAAATCAACATCTAACTACATGATAACTCTCAAAAAGAATTTGTGCTTATTCATTGCATTTTTAGCCCAGATGATGTAAAGAAACAAACATTTGACATGAGTGACAGCTCATTATCAGGGGATTATTGATACTCAGAGCCATGAGTTCGTGCTTGTGCTGGATCATTTATTCATAGAGCTGTGGGTGGATGTGTTAGTAATTCATGAGGGAAGATCTGAGAACAGCATTGCTTTACGGGGAACAATAACATTGTCAAACTCTCCCGTTACATGAAGATCTATAGTTCACCCAATCATATCTCAATGTATCTTCTTTTGTATTTCACAGAAGAAAGAAATGCATACAGGTTTACAGACATGAGGGTGAGTAAATGATGACACATTTTTTATTTTTGGGTTCATTTCTGTTAACCCTGATCTGTCACTTAAGGAGAGACTGTCTATCTGTCTGTCTATCTCTCTGTCTGTCTGTATGTACTTAAATACCCAACTTTATATATAGAGCTGTGCGATAATACAGTTTGCATTTATATTTATAAATATTTATTATATGTCTTGTATGTTATTTAAAATTTGTATTGTATTCATAGAAACTTGTAGTGGAATCTTTTGATTTGGTCCAGTAATAAATCACCTAGCAACCTCCCAAAACAGTCTAAACAATCTAGTATTCATAGCAACACCCTGGCAACCATGGTGTCAGACTCAGTTCCGTGTTTTGTGTTTTGCTCCCCACGTGTTTCCTTTTGCCCTTATTTGGTTCTTCCTGTTCTGATTATGTTGATTTGTCTCCAGCCTTAGTCTTATCATTTGTGCTCCTTTATAAGCCTGTCTCCTACATCCATTCGGTGTCCGGTATTGAATGTTTGTTTATGGCTACCTCCTCTGCTTATGTGTGTTTTCCTGGTTCCCTTGATGTCATTAAAGTGTCCTTGTTGATGTACTCCACGTCTCCTCGTTCCTCGCTCCCTCACAGAGGCGAACGTGACACATGGCAGTGAGTTTTGCAAGGCAAAATCCAGTTTTCTGTCTTCTGTCTCACAGACTGTATTAATAAAATAGGGTTTGTACTCTGGCCAATTTCATGACATGTGCTTTCTGAAATTTAAGACATGTTTTCTTTTCCTGTGACGTCTGCATCTCAGTGGAATCAACTTCATCTTCTTTTCATGAGCAATATGGTGAAAATCAGAATGGAGTGTGAGACTGGAGCAGAGGTCAGGAGGCCTGCTTATTCCCTATGGATTCAGATTCTTTTAATAGTATGTAGTGGAGAGAGAGTGGAAGTCTGAATGCCGGGGGTCTTCAGGAAGCAGTGGGTGGGGGAATGAGACATTATGAACTCCATTGCCAAAGCATTTGCCTCGTCAAATGAAAATCAGTCTGGCTGTTGTGTCAGTATTCTGCCTGTAACGCGGGCGAGTGAATTCAGCGCAATCAAAGATTTGTCTGTCTATCTGAGAACGTGTTTACAGCCCTTCTGACAACTTTACCATAGAAACCAGTAATGTTTTCTGTAGGAGTCAGTCTGTTTGGACCTGTTTGGTTGGTTCCAATTTCTAAAAAATTGGTCTGATTTTTTTCCTGCTGTTTCATGAATTGTTTTGTGCTTTATGATTATTTTATTGCTTGCATATTTTTTATAAAAGGCTGTTCCCATTGGACTGGACATGTGACAAAAGGTCAGTGTGTTCAATTAGCTTTTTTTCCCTGAGCAATATAGTGAAAATAGCTTGTTTGAAGTCAAGGCTTTAAGGTTTGTGCAGAATTTGACTTTTAATAATAAACCCACCCGTAGTGTTAAGAGACAATTAGCCCCAACCTCCCCTATAGTGAGCAAAAACAGGACTTTGTCGATGTTCAGACAGTGAATATGTATGTTTTGTCTTCCTGATCACACACACAGACACGCAGTGTTCACCTGACATGACCATACATGCCTGACACAGATTTTTTAGCCATGATATTATGACTCATGTCGCTGTCTGTGAGATGTTTGTGAGTCAGTATGTGGGCGTGAATGAGAACCGACAGTCTCACTGTCATCTCCAGCATGACGGCATCCACAACATCACTGTAAAAGCCTTGCAACACAGAAAATACCTTGTATATTTAACTTTTGAGTTTTGTATTCATGTATAATAATAATAATAAAATAAATAAATAGTATAACTTATATGTACGTTTATATTATAATATCATACTAGGTTCAGTACAGTCATTCAGTACAGTAGTTTCTAACCATTGAATTAATTCTGTAATAATTGCATATGCATATTTTAGTAACAGCCATGATTTTTTTTTAATTAAATGAAATTAATATAATAGGCCTAATAATACAAATAATAAAATAAATAAATAATAAAATAGCAGAATTTATAATAATATATACATTTATATTATAATATATCATTTTTTATTTCACATTAAAGTAATAAGAATGAGGGGTTTCACCATTATGATAAGGACAATTTGGTGGGAATTTATGCTTAAATGTCATGAAAAACAATAAAGGCTCTTCAATAGGCAAATATGAGTTCTTCTTTTGATTTGTGACTTGAAATACTTCCTTATGTCATGAGATTCACCTGAGTGTATATATTTGGCTCTTAGTAAAGGTTACTGCTGAGGGAACGAACAGTGAGCGAGTCTTGTGGCTCTTAAATGTTAATGAAACCCCTCACCACCAACATGACCATATAAGGACGGGTTTCCTCTTCCCCTCGGCCTGGAAAACACAACAATAGAGGCCAATAGGAATGAATATCAGCTGTCTTGTTCGCTCTCTCTCTGTCATGGATCATGCTCTGCTGGACAATTATAGAAGAGAGGAATGTGTAGTGGAGCAATTAATGAGCTGAGACTTTGTACATTGCAGCTTTTTTTTTTCGGCCAAAAAAAGAACATTCTTTCAGT